TAGTTGATATTTTTATATTCCCCCCCTGCAATTTTTCCCCCACTAATTGAAATGTCTTTAAATACTCATTAACATGAAATCAACACACTGTAGTAAACAGATAAATGGAGGCAGAAGATGTCTTTCAGTCATCAATGCTCACATTCAGCGACACACAGGAGCTCTTTCAAGCTGGGCACCGTTTCCTTCACAACAACCAGGAATCAGAATCAGAAAAACTTTAATAATCCCAGGGAGAAATTAATTTCTTTACATTACTCCATCTGTAATAGAGTGACTATAGGACACAGTTTCATACAATATATATAGTTAGGGGGTCCCCGCTCCATCTCGCCATCAGTTTGGGGGTCCTTGGTCTGGAAAACATAGAAGACCCCTGTTCTTGAGGGTTTTACTATCCATGTAACTTGTTTGTTAAACCTGCCTGGTATAATTTTCCAGGATTCCTTTTTAGTATGTATTGAAATGGAATTTCAAATGGAAAAAATTATTAAAATAAAAAAAAAAAAACATTTGCACCTTAAAGACTACTTTCCTGTTTTTCTTTTAATAATTCCTCATAATAAAGACCATTCAAGCAGCACATTTTTCCTGATGTTTCTGAGAATATACTGTAGGGGTGAAAGCTGCAGCTGCTACTAGTGTGAAGTGAATGGACAGCAACAAAGCGTTAAAGCAACAATGGGGAAATGCTGTCCCCTCAATGCTAATGGAAACCCTGGTTGGATAAGGATTCAAAACTGGATATGAAGATGAAATCTGACGCACAGTTTCAGAGTTACAACTGATAAAATAATTGCTCTCTGTGGTTCTACAGTAGGCTATGGTGGAATTGAGCAATACATGAAAAAAAAAAAGAACTATGAGCTAGTTCATTTTTTGGTTTTGAATTATGAACTATGAACTGAACTAGTTCATTTTAAAATGTGTGAACTGAACTTTGAACTAGTTCACGTAGAAAGAGAACTTTCCCAACACTGGAAATAACCAGTCAACACCAAGTTATGACTGACTGGTCCCTGTGCAGGTGGGAAGTGTAGAACCCAGATTTGTAGATATGTATCTAACTACCCCAGGTTAATCTTGACTTGAGATAAATAGTCTCTACTGCTCTTCAGATAATGTCAACAACTTTATCATTTGACACTAATAGCCTGCAAACATTAACACTGACTGTCATCTGTGCTTTTTCATTGCAAATAGAAGCCATTCTATGAAATGCACTGATCCCATCAACTCTTTGATTTTGTGACCAACAGCGCTCCTCTGTCATCCACTGGAGATAAAGATCAAGTTCATTTCTGACGGCTGGCTAAGCAAAACATTTCCACTTTAAAGACCAGATTAGACAGACAGGAAATACGACGTTTCATCTCAAAATAAGCAGGGAGCTTTCTGAGTGCATGAACCAAAGGTGGCTTTATTCAGCAAGAGACCTGAGAAATGCTGCTGCAGTGAATTATCTTCTTGCTTGTTCTTTAAGTGTCTGAGCAGAGCTTTTTAGTCACTGGGTGTCAGACTAGTTTTCTGTTATTTAATGGGGTTTAGATTGGTGTGTTCAGATTGTCAAAACTAAGATGCCTAACAAACAAACACTGTAGTTACACAGTTGAATTCTGTTGCAGTGGACACCCCATAGCTCCTCACTTGCAGGGTTTACTTTATATCAGCAACTGCCCCTCCTCATAAAAAAACTGAATTCAAATATTTGAACTTATCTTTACTGACTTACTCACATTAACTTAGTTTATCCCCTTCCTGAAATTCTATTAGTGACATTCTAAACACAGAAAGGCTCAATATTTTGATAGACACATTATCCAAAATCCCTTTCAAAAAATGGTACTGTGGACTCACAGTCCTCTAAAACCAAAGAGCTGTTGTAAAGAAAATAGTCATTCAGTGAAAGCGTTTCCTGGACGGGGCCGCCTGTGGAGCTGGTTGACAGTTGCCTTTTGTATCTATGCTTCTTTTTCTATGTCTGCTTCTGTCTCCTTGAACCCCAGTGGGCCTCAGCAGATGGCCGCTCACACTGAGCCTGGTTCTGCTGGAGGTTTCTTCCTGTTCAAAGGGAGTTTTTCCTCTCCACTGTCGCTACAAGCATGCTTAGTGTGAGGGATTGCTGAAGAGTCAATGAGTCGATGCAATCAGCTGGTTTTCCTTAGATAGAAAACTTTGAATCAATCTGACTGGATGATCTGGTTGAACTGGAAAGTGACCTGAGATGACATGATGTGAATTGGAGCTATAGAAATAAACTGAATAGAATGGAATTGAAACTGAATTCATTTGCTTCAGTCCTATTTCTTAAATGCTCGTTTCTGTGTCTCCCTGGGATGTATACTTACTGAGGTATTAACAGAAAGGTTTAAAGAAGACCTTTAGAAAGGACTGTGGTCAGTGTGATGGTGTCATATAATTTTCACTGTGCAAACATATTTCAAGGCCTTATACTAACTTAGCAACACAGAATATAAAGTGGACAGGACACAGAATTAATACATGCTGGAGGTCACGTACCAATCTTTGGAAATTCAACGTTCCTAATTGGTGATTCGCACGCAATCAGGTTGTAAGCTAAGAAATGTTGGCATTAACAGAGAACACCTTTTTCCTGTTCAGGTGTCAAACAGGCCAATTTAGGACATACACACACATACATACACCAGCAAGACTGCGAAAAAAACTGAGATGTCTGACCATGTAGCGCTGAGCTTATGAGCTTATGAAGTGTTTAAGCTGTAGGAATTCAAATTGTAAATAAATGTCTCCTCCCTCCGGAGGACAAAATGGCATTCATCGTTTTCAAGTGTTATTCTTTCCATCATAAGAGAATTCTAGCAATGAGCTTCTACAATTGGTGCATTGGCCGGGAATAAAACCCCAGTGGGAATCGAACCCTAGTCAGCTGCTTGGAAGGCAGCTATGCATATCTACAATTCTGCTTCCTGGATTTCCATTATCTTTATGTAGTGGATTTAGTTACACTTCTCATCCAAATTTCAGCTTTTTCGGTTTCCCTGAGGAGGGGTTCTGGGATCTTCTGCCCCCCAGCCTTACCAACACTACAGCTTAATATTTCTAATGGATTTTTAACGTTCATTTCTGGGAAACCAAATAATCTATCACACCGTTTAATGATGAGAAGTTTCCCCACAATAACCTTTGTCAGAAGTATATGGAGTATCAGATTTTTGTTGGTTGATTCTGTTTTCTTAGAGCACACCAATGGGGCATCTGTTTGGTCACCATGTTCTCTGTGGATATTGGCAGCTCTACTTGCCCTTCCATGGAAGGATTAGCAATGCAAAAAGGACCAGGGACATGTCTTATGCCAACACAATCATTTTGTAAAGGACCTGCATAGACTATGATGAACTAGATACTGCTGCTTGAGCCTTTCTGGGTTCACTGCATCTCCCAAAGTTGTTCTTATGGATGGCTATACAATGAAAAAAAGAAGTGTTTGAACCCGCATACTCACCCTGCTATTTTGCAATTTCTCACACTTAGAAATCATGGATGGGTCTGAAGTTGTCATCGTAGGTGCATGTCCACTTTGTAAGACATAAAAAATCCAGAAATCACAATGTACAATTTTTTTTTACTTATTTTCCTCACTGTAGATATTAATGAATATCTGGAGTCTGTCTCCTTCTAGAGGACAAAGCAAACAGCACCAGTAGTAATCCATCCAGACACGGCAGTTCTCATTGTTGATCTGATTATGCTACGTTCACACAGGAAGCACTTTGGGCAGCAGCAAACCATCTGCTGCTTCATTTTTCAAGCTTGTACATTTTAATTCCGGCAAGGCTCAAGATCATCAAGGACGCCCTTGAGGCGCGTCCAGTAAAGTGAGTCCAGATGCTTCTGCTGCTGTTCGATGCCAGAGAGCAGCTTTGCTATATTAGCTGTGATCAGCGGGTAGAAAGTAGTTAGAATCTATGTTGAAGTGAGAAAGTCCTCCTGAAAACATGGCCTGTGCAGTCAGTTCATCCAGATTACCATCCTGCCTTCAAAGATTATTTCTCTGTGGGAGCCGCTCAGACCCCCACATACCGGCGCTGCGCTGTCACTGGGAATCCCCAGCAGCAGCTGCCTCAGGCCCGCTCGCCTCTCCAGGGTTTTCCCCTCCTGTTGGTGGCGGCTGGAAGTAGATGTTAGCGTTTTTCAGGTCTGTGCTACAAACTGCAGGCAGCAGGATAATAAAAGCCAACATATTCTGCCGGCAGGTTTCTACATTTGAAGTTAATTTAGGCGTTAATAAACTGTTTCAGAGGAGTGATCATAGCGCTCTGCATCAGCAGTGCTGCGTCTGACTCCCTGCCAGCTCCCAGATCAGCTTCTCTCATTGGTTGATGCGGCGCATCCAGCAGCTAAAGTTTCCAACTCCAGCAGCTGCTGCTTGTGAAGCGCATCACGTGCCTCAGAAGCTCACGAGGCGCTGCTCAGATTCATGAAGATGTGCTGCTCCTGCTGCTCTAGACAAACTGCCGGACCTTCTGATGCGCCTTGATGCATGTTGACCATAGACCACCGGCCTCTGCTGCTTCAATCGCATGTGGTCTGAACGTAGCATTAGAGAACTACAGTATTTTATTTGGCTCAACCTAATTTAGATAACATGTTCTAACTCTTGATGCAGTATGTTTATAGAAATTGCCTGCATTACTTGTAGAGCACAGCCGGATACACAATTTAGCTTCAAACAAATTTTTCTGCTGAAAGCACAATATGTGCATCAGTCCACTTGGTTGCTGTATTGTTGATGTGATATTTGCCCGTGATCTTCTTGGACCAGAAAAGGTTTCTTGATAGAAGGGTTAGTTTTACCCCTCCATACAGCTACAATAACTATGTAACCCTAAAACACATACTGTGAACTGAAGCTTATTTATTATGGCTGCTAACAGTCAATAAGCCCATAAATGTCTGCTGTTGCTCTGCATAGAGCAAGGGTCAAACTTTAACATGAGTTTCTTGTTTTGCTCCAACAGGCTGATGAATCCGGATTTGTGGCCGACTGGTCTGCAGACTTCGGTTCAGTGCCAGCAAATGAAGATGATGCTTCAGCTGCAGTCTCAGCTGCTTCAGGAACTGTGGATGAAATGCCAGAAGGAGAGCGGTTCAGTGTTCAGGGAGAAGCTCAGTGCTGGCAGAAGCCCGAAGGCTCACTACCAGATGGAGACTTAACTACTGTCCAGGACAGTGAGTCCAGAGCTAAGGAAGATGAGGTTAGCAGCTGGGAAACCCTGACTCACTCTAACCTCCACCAGTCTAGTGGGGTTAGAGATGAGAATTACCTGGTAGAGTTAGGCAGAGAAAATGTGGGGCAGGAATATCGTAGGAAATCTACTCCAGGTCTTCTTTTCACCAATGAATTTGGTGAAGAGATTGAGGATGGCGAAGGCTACAGTGGGGATAAGAGGTCCAGGTCTTTAGATGGATCTGGGTCAGAGTATGAGACAGCTGAAGAATGGGCTGATGGTGGCCAGGGAGGAGGCTGGATGAGTGCCGATGACGAACTCTCATATGACTATGGGAATATTGCTGAGAACAAAGAAAGTGCATCAAACAAACAAGAGTCAGAAGAGCAAAATGACCCCACATTCCTTAACAGAAATATTTCTGAAGCAAGAGAACACCGTTGGGGAATGTCTGCCAAGGCAGATTGTTCAGGTCCTGATGAATTGGATTCAAAGCAATGTGCTAAATCCCAGGTGGGATTTGGGTTTAAATCTGATCTGTTTGCAGAATCCAAGGAGGGAGCAGGGTTTGAATCGGATTCATTTTCAGAATCCCAGGGGGGGATTGGGTTTAAATCAGATACGCTCGCAGAATCTCCGGGGGGGATTGAGTTTGAATCCAATCCGCTTGCTAAATCCCAGGGGGGTATTGGGTTTGAATCCGGTCCTTTTGCAGAATCAAAGGGGGGGATTGGGTTTGAATCTGATCCGCTTACAAAATCCCAGGGGGGTATTGGGTTTGAATCCGATCCGTTTGCAGAATCCCAGGGGGGTATTGGGTTTGAATCCGATCCGTTTGCAGAATCGCAGGTGGGAGCTGGGTTTGAGTCCGATCTGTTTGCAGAATCTCAGGGGGGAGCTGGGTTTGAGTCCAATCCACTTGCAGAATCCCAGGGGGGTATTGGGTTTGAATCCGATCCGTTTGCAGAATCCCAGGGGGGTATTGGGTTTGAATCCGATCTGTTTGCAGAATCGCAGACGGGAACTGGGTTTAAGTCCGATCCGTTTGCAGAATCACAGGTGGGAGCTGGGTTTGAGTCCGATCCGTTTGCAGAATCCCAGGGGGGAGCTGGGTTTGAGTCCGATCCGTTTGCAGAATCCCAGGGGGGAGCTGGGTTTGAGTCCGATCCGTTTGCAGAATCCCAGGGGGGAGCTGGGTTTGAGTCCGATCCGTTTGCAGAATCCCAGGCGGGAGCTGGGTTTGAGTCCGATCCATTTGCAGAATCCCAGGGGGGAGCTGGGTTAAAGTCCGATCCGTTTGCAGAATCCCAGGGGGGAGCTGGGTTTGAGTCCGATCCATTTGCAGAATCCCAGGGGGGAGCTGGGTTTGAGTCTGATCTGTTTGCAGAATCCCAGGGGGGAGCTGGGTTAAAGTCCGATCTGTTTGCAGAATCCCAGGGGGGAGCTGGGTTTGAGTCCGATCCGTTTGCAGAATCCCAGGGGGGAGCTGGGTTTGAGTCCGATCCGTTTGCAGAATCCCAGGAGGGAGTTGGGTTTGAGTCCGATCCGTTTGCAGAATCCCAGGGGGGAGCTGGGTTTGAGTCCGATCCGTTTGCAGAATCCCAGGGGGGAGCTGGGTTTGAGTCCGATCCGTTTGCAGAATCCCAGGGGGGAGCTGGGTTTGGATGTGAAACATTTTATGAAGGCCAGTTTAGAGATAACACAGTTGGATTTGGGTCAGATCCAGTTTCTGGGCCTTTAATGAATTGTGGAAGTGAAGTCAGTGACATTAGAAGTAGTAGTAGGGATTCAGACACAATTGCCAACAGCTTTCCAACAGTCTCTTCTGGAACTGAAGATCCAACTCAACAAACAAACTACATTTGTGGAGCTGCTGCAGCTGGAATGAAAGAAGTTAACAAGCACAGAAATCCCAAAGAACCAGAAAATTCAGATATGTCTGAAGATGAGGCTGCAAACCGAAGGTTGGAAAAGTTGTACCAAGAGCTAGACACAGGAAAGGAAGAGGTACCTGACCTCCCTCCCCTCCAATACGATAGACTAGTGTAGAGTAGCAAACTGCAGAAGTACCCTTCCTGCTTTCACCCCCACCCGAATTAGGTAAACCCCGTCAAATATCATAGAAGCAGGACACCAGCCTGAGCTCTTCCTCTTTGCTGTCTCTAAAAGTCCTCTGTTGGTACCTTCATAGCTAGTTTACACTGAAACCTTTTTTTCAGCTGAATTAACCAAATCCTGTTTCTGCAAGTCAGCTGGTTTTTAAGGGACCCCCAAAGGTAACAGATTTTTTATCTCTTGGTTTTCAGTTTATTCTCCATCAATATTAACAGGCTTTATTTGGTCAACCAGTTCTTTCAGATAACAGAAACCATTTGATATTCAAACGTGTACTAGACAGAAGTGACTTTTAAAGAAGACTGACCCCACCGGCATGTTAACTGGACCAGAATCTGTTATTATAGCACCAAAGATTAGCTCCTACCTCCTCATGTGTGTTATTCTATCCATGTTACCCTCCTGAATGAAGTCTAAGCCTTTTTGCCTGACATTCTCTTATTTTCTCTGACTTTGTTGCACGCCACCTTTAGGATGCTGCTGCTTCATCATTCTTTACAGATTTTGATAACATGGTGAGTTTAGGTAACCTTTGTTACGTTTATTTATTTGAACCTTAATGTAAAACCTTTTTATTTGATTAAATGTAAAAAGTGTGGATTGTTTTAAGGTTCACTACCTTCAGCTGGTTAGCGATGACCCTGTCTTATTGTTTTAGCGTTAGCGGGGAGAATACATGTTGCACTGATTATTTAGAGAATTATTTAGAAATAATAATATGTAAAACCTTGGCAAGCAGAGGGGCTGACTGAACTCCCCGTAGCTCAATCAGTGTCTCTTTACTTAAGAATGAAGCTCAGACTGACTCAACAGAAGCAACACAGAAGGAAGAAGCTGATGAGCAGAGTGCAGCTTCAGTTCCCACTGCTGCAGCGGACCAAGATGCGAGTCCGCCTCTTCCTGCTGCCAAAGACACCCAGCATCAGCCTATGGAGGCTGAAATGTGTGAAGCTGCAGCCCCCCCTGCTGGAGAGGTCAGGGAAGACCCATCCCCTCCTGCTGAATATGAAAAAGAAGAAGCTTCAGACAATTTGCATGAAAAGAAAGTAGCTGTGAGTGGAAACGTTCCAAAATTAATTATCATCATCATCATCACCAACGTCATCTCTACTCTTCATCATCATCATCATCATCATCAGGCCTTCATTTTTATGTCAAGGATTTTCACTCATCATTTCATCATTTCATCATTTAATTAGCAAACCTCATTTTCTGCTTCTTCCTCATGCCGATGCTTCCTCTTCCTCATCAGGTCCCTTTTCTTCATCATTTATCCACCATCAGCATCTTCATCGTTTATATTTCAATATGGAATCAATCTAATCTTTACCAACAGAAGCTAATCGACAGCTTCTTCCTGTTCCTAAGATGATCATGATTGCCAATATTTAGTGTCTTATCTGCATCCTGCATCATTAACTAGGCCTGCCTGGCCCTGATGGTGCGTGCTCCGTCCTCACACCGTCGGAACAGGCTCAAACTGTCCTGCTGCTGCATCTTTGAAAACATTTCTATGTTTAATAGTTTCCTGTTTTTATTGTGATTCTCTCCACAGACTGAAGCTGAGAGTCCAGAGAAGGCCCAGCCTGCAGAGGTTTGTTCACTTCATTTTCTTTACATACATTTTTGCTCACTTTTATTCTTTTAACAACAATTCCAGGTTAAAAAAGAAAACTAAAAATGTATTTAGTTTCATTTTAAATCTGGTTCAAAACAACAAAGCAACCCTGAGAGCATATTTATCCTCACTTTTTCCCAATAAACAATCAAATAATTGGAGTTTCTCTGGGAAAAAAAACATTATGAATGATGGATGATTATTCATAGTTTGTTCC